GCAGCAGAGGATACAGGAGTGCTGATGGATAATCTTGAGGAAGTCAAAAGAGGGATAGCAGGTGAGAACAGTAAGCATATAATCACTCATGTCATTATACATAGTGCTTAAGGAAGTATTTCAATCCTGGAAAGTTGGTCTTTGCATAAAACTAGGCTGTGTATGCTGGAGAAAGACACAAATACTTTAGGAATTAGTGCAGAGAAAAGGGTCTGTGGCATTTGCTTTTGCTCAAGAGGTAGAAAACCTACAACTATCAGAATCCGTTGTGCTGCACTTGACCAGCTAATGGGTGATGTAATGCAAGCTTGGATATTTTTCCACAGCAAACATCCTCTCTTGATCTGCATCTGTGCTCCTTGTGTCCGTGGTGCTGTAAATGAAAATAGGGAAGGACAATCTGTGGTTCAAGTAACAGCAACTGTCACCTCTGGCAGCACCACTGGTTGTCAGTGGCGGAAGAAGTACTCAGATCTTAATTAACTTAAAGCACTAACACAGCAATGTCAAAATACTCAGAGTAAAAGTAGAACTGCTGATGACACACATCTGAAATGTGACGAGGGGCTGCAACCAGGAACTGCATTTTTGTAAGAGGTCACAGGCCAAAAATGGTAGTAAGTGCTGGTTTAATGCATTGTGTTTTATCAGCTCATCATGTGTTTTATTTAATGTTAAGTGACAAGTGGCCTAACTGTAGCTGTCAGATAAATGTTGAAGAGTAGGAGCATAAAATAACATAAAATGGATGTAGGCCTGCTCAAGTCAAGTAAAACAACCTCAAATTGTACTGAAGTAAATGGACAAAGTTACTTTCCACCGCTGCTGGCTATTGTTTCTTGTTTCTCCCACATTTCAGGAGCCAGGGATGATATGGAGATCCACTACAGAGCCAGCAGAGCAGCTACAGTGAGTACCACAGTGATGTAACTAAAGCAGGTTGTTATGTAGTCTTTCCACTGTCAATGTGCAGCTATGCTGAAATATGGAAAGTCCTCATCATGCCTCGCCACGACTGTTTCTGAAAACTCTAAAAGCGCTCAACCTCATTTATTAGTATAATAAATGTTCAATGGCCACCTTAAATACATCCATCTACCCGTAACAGAATAAAGTAAGATTAGGATTTTGCAGCGCTCATCATAATTTATTAATACAACAAGATCTAAAATTACCCTTAATAGAGTCAGAAGCACGCTCATACTGTCCTTCAACATAATGTGCTGTTACTCCAATATGGAGCAAGAGTTGAGAAGCTGCCTTATGAAACATTCTGCTTTAGGCTTGTCTTTTAATGCTAAAGTATCAGTGCCTATACCAATATACCATATAAGTACATCTTAACCATGGACCACCACACGATCATTGCGCAATGTCGTTGGTGTTACAAAGTTTGCGCCAGTGGCGGCTGCTGGTCTTTCAAACAGGGGAAGCTCACTTTAAGTTTACATCATAAAATTTGTCATATTGTAGCGAGGCAGTAACTTATAAAAAAACATTTAAATGAAGCCGTTTTTCAACCACACTCATGCCACAGAACCACAGCAAAACACACATCAAAAATTTTCAGTTGGGTTTACAAACGATGAAAATTAGCTATATGGCTTATGGAAATAAGGAACTCCGGACGGCACTCTGTCAGAAGACTCCACTCGCAAATATCTGCATGGGACTGAGCTCGAACTGCGAAGTGCTGTCAATCAAAAAGGGGTCAGCCTTTTAGACAGTTCCTCCAATCATCATGCATACACTGAGCGTCCTCTCCCGCCTACTGCTCCATTAGGTCCCAGGGAAGCTAAGCCTCATTGGAAGTGACAATTTTGTCGCATTTATCCAATGACTGTCTTGCTTTGCTGCATGAAAAAAACCTGCTCAGCGCTGTCTCATAGGAATGCTTGGAGGCTCCGCGCCCACCGTGCTCACACGAGAATGTATGACAGGGAGGTCGCATCTGAAAACTGGTGATAAACAGCTGACGTTTGACCATCATAGTCATGATGTTAAACGCATCCTAGCGCATGTTTAATGCAATGTAAATTCTTATTTTAATGTAAATTCAGTAGTGCATATTTGACCATTTCTTCTATGAAATTTTACGTGAAGTTCAGCCTCCCTTGTTGTCTCAGAGCAATCGCTCCTGGTTTGCGCATTACCAAAAATCTGTTGATCTCCCAGTCTTTCATAATGTTTAAAAGTAGGTGTGTTTCTTCTTCTGACCAGAAATGTTGGCTTTTCTTTAGGGCATGAAATTTTACCACAGCCTAGCAAACGGTCAGCACATTTGATGTGTATAAGGTAACGGACAGAGCTGACTGTAAACAGGCAAGAAGGCGTGTGACATAAACTGGGTTGAAAACACATATTCATGATGCACTATGATAATAATACTTAATTTGGAATATCTAAATCAAATATGCTTTTTGCGTGACCCACATCAGATTCAGAATACTGTCATACTCTGAATAATAGTGGAATATTAGTGTGCATTTAAACATTGAGTCATAGTGGTTGCTTCCTTATCTATATCTGTATCTTAGATCTTCTTCTGCAATCCAATTCACATCACCGTCTGCCCGCTTGACTATGGGTTCTAGAGTCTTTAGCCCCAGGGTGCCAAACTCTTTGTGGTTTATGGGAAACATACAGCCCAATTTGATCTCAAGCGGGCCGGATCTGTAAAATTATTGGGAAATAACCTATAAATAACAACACCTCCAAATGTTTCTGTTATTGTAAAGTACATCCTGAAAACGTTTATCCTTTTATGAAACAGATGATGAACAGTCTGGGATGTCAAAAAACAAGTGCAGTTTCAACAATATGTCTGTTTTTCCAAATTAAGTGAGTCTACAACTCACATTTGCATACATCACTCCTGTGTAGAAATGCTGGCATCACCACACCAGACTAAAGTTAAAGTTAATGAGGAAGCGGGGTAAGTTATTCCCTGCCTTACAGACCATTTACAAATTAAACATTTTGGCAGTGCTTTAGCAACAGGGTTCCACCAATATTGTTTTAAGATAAAAGTCTGATACAGCTGCCGATTAACAATATTTTGCATAGTGTTTAATATCTTTATGTATGACCATAATAAAGTATTCATTGTTTTTTCGAGAACTGTATTCTGGTCAGGTACATAAAAAGCCTCTGAAGCAGCATTTTACATGAAATCGGCTCCCGACTGTTCAATTTGCTCCTGAAACTTGGTAACTCTTAGCCCTCACAAGTGCATTAGTATTAGGTGTGCTTAACACCCTTGCTTTAGCTGTTCTGCCCTCCCGCCTTTGAAACTCTCTCCCCCATGACATTTGCAATATTGACTCCCTTTCCATTTTCAAATCCCGTCTTGAAAACACTCCTGGCATATTTGGTCTAATTTAATGGGGACACACATATCGAGACTTGTAGTGATGAAGACGATGTAATGATGATGATTTTATACTTTTTTTTTTTATAATTTTGATTTTTGACTTCTTATTTTATTAACCTATTATTGTATATTACTGAATTGTTTGACTTTATGGTCTATAGATTCATTGCTGCTTTTTTTTTAAACTCTGTCTCGTGAGGCATCCTTGAGTGCTTTAAAAGACGCCTATAAGTAAAATGCATTATTATTATTATTAGTATTGTTGCTGTATACATATGAGATCACCTATTTTAAATTGGCAATACTTTCCAAATGGGTTTCAGCCTGAGTTATGAATGTAAATATAGAAATACTTGCAGTGTGGATGTACATAATGCCTGCACGTGTGGTAAATTAGCAGTCACCATTATGGCCATGTAAAAATAGGAACTGCCTCTTGGTGGTGCTAAAGTCAAGCTGATACTGTCACCAAATTCATGAGGTTTCTTCCTTTTGTGAGCATCGATATGTCCAAGACACGATGCAACTTAAAATGTCAGATATGCTGGTCAGAGATAAAGAAATGGCCAAACAGAGGTTTGGATGTATCTAACTGAAAGAATAAAGTGCCTCCCTGTTACCAATGAACCCGGAGGTAACATATAGGCATAAGTTAAGGCTGTAAAGCACATAAAATGGGAAATCTTACACTGTAGAAATAGACATGGTGGTCTAACATGAGCATAATATGTATAACTAATCCACAACTAAGTGGCAAAATGACTTGCTTCCAAAAGTAGGTGGCAGTGTTGCAGTGTACAGAAGTGCAAGTAGAAACATCTCTGTGAAAACTCACACTTTTCTATGCAGTCTGAGTAATTTCCTTTCCCCAATGTCCCCCGCATATAAGACAGCATCAGCATGGCTTGGTCGACCTCTGTTATCCTGACAGCAGCCACCTGTCCTGTCTGATCTGCACCTCTCAGTAGGTTGAATTCTTTTTTATTTTTGAGTCTAATTGTGATGTAACAGTGGTGCAGATGACAAACATCACTAACGACCAATAGCAGGCTTATTCTAGTCAACTGTCAGTCAAGTCAATTTTATTTATATGGTGCCAACTCATAACCAAAATTATCTCATGATATTTTTCATAGAGAGCAGCTCTAGACCATACCTTTGAATTTACAGACACCCAACAATCAGCAAGGAAAAACTTCCTTTGAAGAGACAGAAACCTCCGTCCCTACATTTGTCTCAGTTATCACCAGTGACACAATTTGTTATTTTAGTTTATTTTATTTTAGTTACCAACTGTAGCTTTAAGGCCTAAACTCATTTAAAGCCCACACATTCCCAAAATTGGAATCACAGTGTGATGGTATAACTGGAAAGTGACGACAGATCACAGATGCTGTTAATGTTCGTCCTGTCCGTTGACTCTGTGAGATAGGCAGTTACAGGATCTGTTCAACAACAGGCAGAGGCTTGACTATATTTAGAGCTTACAAATGGATTTCACCTCTGACTTCAGTGACACCCTTGTTGCTGCATTAATACACTTTGGTCACAGGGAGGCAGCATTGTCTTTTGGTGAGTTAATTCACGCTCATACAGAGAAGTGTACAAAAGTGCAGAGAGAACACGGTGAGAGAGCAACAGTTTATTTGTTTAAAAAGATGATACAAAACAAACAGAGGATCCTGTGCTCTCAGTATATTAAGTCAAAAAAGCACAAAGCACTAATACATTTAAAGGATATAATGTTGTATTTAAGAGCAGCATGACATCAACCAACAAACATCAAACAGGATTGAGTTTAAACTTATTTTTTTTAGATATTAAGCCATACTTAATTTATGATTGGCTTGTTAAAGCCCAGCCTTGGGAAAAAAACTGCATGTGTTTGGTTTAAATTTGGATTTTGCTTTGAATAATCAATAGTCTGTTTACAAAAAAATGATGTCAATTTGTAGCCCCCTGCAGCCAAAAACAAACAAGAAACAGCTGTACCATTAAAGCCAAAGCATGTCACTTAAATGAACAGAATCACGTTCATCTACTGACTCTTGCTGAACAATCAGCTGAACAATTGTATCATTTTGAAACATTAAAGTCAAGCACTTTTTTAATTAAATCTTTGTAAAGCACTCACATCACTGTGGAATCAGTCGCAACATTAGCATCCTCAGTTACTGGCTCTCCAGCGTCATACAAACACTCAGTTCAAATGCTGTGATTTGATCAAACAGTTACTAGATGTAGGGCTTTCTCTGAGGCTTCATCTTGGATTCAATCCAGCTTCTGTAGTGCGGGATCTTAGCATAACTGTATATTTCCAGGCCATCAAAGTCCAGTTTGCGAGAGGACACCACCCCGTATGCCTTTCCATCTTCGCAGACCAGTGGACCACCAGAGTCTCCCTGTAATTACATACGCAATATGCAGTGATTGCTTCATCAGTGAATTGAGTATCATCGTTGACCAATGCTTGTTTGTCCATGCCATGTTACAGGAATACGTACCTTAGCTGGTCCATTATCTCCCTTAGAGCAGTATGTTTTGTCCTTATTACACTGATCACTGTCATTCAGTGTTACATTGACTTCCATGAGAATGAGAGACAGTGATTCTATGGTCCTGTTTGTTCTTCCCCAGCCAGAGACTGTGCATGATTTTGGCACAGAGCCATCACCTTGGTCTGCGAGAGCAATGGGCCTCACATTTTCATTGAAAATTGCCTTGGTGCTCAACTTGAGGAAGAGGGAGAGATAAAAGTGTATTTAAAAATCTGAACAACAGTATGTAAAGTATTTTAATGCTCCTCTCGATAAAGGCATTAAATGAAGCATTTGATTATAACATACTGATATACAAATATTGGAGATGATAAATGTTAAGTACAAGGATTTTAAAAGCAATCATTTACTCTTTTACCTTCAGAAGCATTATGTCATTTTCATAAGTCACTGCGTTGTAGTCTTCATGTAGAAATGTTTGTTTCACCATGACACGCTGTACACCAGTTCTGTTACGGTAATTGTGAAGTCCTAGTAAGACGTAGGAGGACCTGAAATGACAAAATTGAGTGCAGAAAAGTTTTATGGGAGGGTTTTTTTTTCTTTTTTTATTCATCAGAGCACTGTATTCATAAAATGAGAAGTCTCGGTTGTTGTTGGGATAATTCTTATCAGGGGCCCCAATATTCCTTACAGGTAAATATAAAGTGTGTTAAACTGACCAGGCTTTGCAGTGGGCTGCAGTCATCACAAAATCCTCATTCAGAAGGAAGCCACCACAGTATTTTTTTTTACCATCCTCCGCGTGCTGGTCCAAAAGCACCATGTAGGGCCTACTGTGTGCAACAGCCTCGTGACCTCCAACAATTTCCCCTGTACGAACTGAAAAAAGAGCACGTGTGACCAAAACTGAAAACTAAACTGGCAAATGAAACAGATTAAAGAATTTCATTTATCCTCATGCACTGTTTGTCTCACAGCACTGACAGTGAAATGTGGTTACTTACATACTGTGGTTTAAACCTCCATGCTATAATACCCTGTGTGAAGCAGTACAGTATAATGCCCTAAGAACTTAACTTACCTTGACCATCGAGAGTCAGCCCGACTATCAGTATAACCAGTTCACAGCGGAAAAACATGGTGAGATCACAGTCAAGCTGAGCTACTAAAAAGCAGTGGCTCACATCACTGACAAATTCAGTCTTTAAATGCTTTCCTGTATTAAGGAGTGAGGAAGTGTTCGTGTAGTTTGCATATTATGCAAACGATGTGGCTTTGAACGACATTCATGAGGAGGACGTCTCTGTCACCTCCAGAGCATGACAAAAGTTACATTTTTAAATTTAATTCTTTACTTCTTTTTAAATTCTTTAGATACTGTTTAATTTAGTACATACAGTATGGTGAATGTGGTTAACATACATATACTATATTTAGGATTATACTGATCCCTCCGTGGTAACACACAGAGCCTTTACAATCCTTTAAGAGCCTTTACATGTGCTGAATGCTGTGGCTCTCTCAGAGGTCACACACCCCCAAAGGAAGCATTATTCTAATTTTGCCATGTCTTAAAAATGATTTGTGAAATGTGACTGCTGGGTTACATAAAGTATATAACTTCTATATTAATCAAATAATTCCTTAATTGTGTAACCAGCCACATTAAGTCAGTAAAATTCAGCTAGATATCGACTGTGTCAGTCTGTATGTGCTGATTGTGTGATCTCAGCTCAACAAGCACTCTTTCCAAAGCTGATGATTGAGCAATTTAAAAGTAATGTGAGTTTGTGGCTAACTTTTGGAGCCAGTACAAAACTGCTATTTACAATAATGATGCTTTTTGCAACAGAAAGAAATTTCACATCTTGTCAAAGTTGACTGGCAACGCTGCAAAGGCAGTCGCAGCAATTATGACTCTGCAGTTGATTTACTGCAGGACAGATTTGGAAAAACGGTCCTCATTATATGTAAACGTATGTGGAAGCTGCTCAACCTCGGGCGTGAGATAAAATCTAACATCAAGGCTCTGAGACAGTTGTATGATAGATGTGAAATGATAGCCTGGAGTCACTGGAAGTAGTACAAACACTTTTGCAAATCTACTTTACTAATAGTGCTGCAGATGATTCCAGGCGATATGGCTCTTGACTGTAGTCAACAGATGGAATACAATGGTGAATGAAAAGTGCTTTAAGAGGCAGTACACCTTCAAATAAAAAATACATCTTTTCTTCTTACCTGTGGCGCTATTTATCAATCTAGATTGTTTTGGTGTGAGTCGCAGAGTGTTGGAGATATCAGCCAAAGAGATGTCTGCCCTCTCTTGAATATAATGGAACTAGAGGGCACCCAGCTTATGGTGGTCAAAGCACCAAAAAAACAGCAACTCAACAACAGTGTCTTTTTCCAGAGATCATGACCAGGTTGCTCAAGATAATCCACAGACCTTGTTGTGAGCAGTTTCATATAGGAACTATTCTTTCTTTCTACTGACGTACACAGGCATCACCGCACAGAAAGAAGCATGCATCTGTTGCTAGGACGCCATTTATGTTTTTTTTTAATCTCACACTATCACAAGCACTAGCTTCTTGTCCATGAGTATATGCACACTTTCTTCTGCGCAGCGATATGGTTGCCGGGTGCAGTTCATTAGAAAGAAAATAGTTCCTACATGAAACTGCTCACAACAAGGACTGGGGATAATCTTGAGCAACCGGTGCATGATTTCTGAAAACAGATGCTGCTGTTGAGGTTTCAAATGTTTCTTTATTTTTTCCGGCTGATATCTCCAACACCCAGCAACTCACACCAAAACAGTTTGGACTGATAAATAGCACTTCAGGTAAGAATATGTAAGTTAAATAATAAATTCAGATAGTTGTTCAGAGCTTTGACAACAAGGGGGTCTTACACACAGAAAGAAAGACAGTCTAGCCACAGGCCATGTAAGTCATTTTCCACCAGAGAATTCAAGTTAAAGAAGCCAAACTGGGCCTCTGCAGTCACACATGCACAGCTAGCTAAAGCACATGAAACTGTTAATTTTGTGAGAGTACTGAACACGATTTAAAGGATATCGAGACCTCAAAGCTAATGCACGAAAGTAAGAATTGATCAAGCTGGGCAGGTGTTTAATTTGCTCCGGACTTAAACATAATGTTCTACAGTGAAAAGACCTAGTCATGTTCAGCTTGTTGGGAGAAAGACATCATGTTCCTTGCAGTGTGAGACGGAACAGCCCACCATTTCAAAAGATCCAGACACTGTTTGGGTTATCCTCCACACCGAAAAGAGAAACTTGATAATAAAAGCACTGCGCTCCTTCACACTGCCACAGCACAGATGTTGTGCCTGGGTAACAAAAACATAGTCCACTGCTTGTTGCATGGAGGTAGTCGGGGATGTTTTGTATTTGGAAACAGAAAGGAAGAGGAGAAGTGTCTTCTCGCAGACTCCCCATTACTTTTGGCAGGTAGTATCAGGGCACACAGATGGTAGAAAGAGTGCCAAGAGACTGTACATTACTGATATGTAACAAGACATATCATCATGCTGCTCTGAGGGAAGAAGAGCTGTGTGTTGTGTTTGATGCTTCACTATACAGATTGCAGGCGCTTTCTTTATTAGTTTATTAACAGGACCCAAACTGACTCTGCATGTGATGAGCATAAAGTTTAGGCTGCATGAAACCTTTGATAGATAAGAAATCGACAAAGATGCAATAAGATATTTGTGGTTCACTAAGAAAAATAACAGGAAGCCATGTGCGCTGAGAATGATTAAGGTGGTGTTTCGCCCTTCCCACTAGCAGTCACCACAGGGAGCATCGCAAGTATGAATCGGAACATCCACAAGTGGTAGAGACGATTAAAACTTGACTGTACGTTGCCCACTCAGTGGCAGTGACAGCAAAGATTGTCATGCTGGCTGCTGGTCTGGAGTGTTCTCATAAGCATAAACCACGGGTGTCCAAACTTTTTTGAATGGGGGCCATATTAGATGATGTGAAAATACCCGGGGGCCAGCTGCTTCTTACATCATATGGGGTATTTAAAAAAGAATCACACAAAAATGAGGCAAAAGAAAACGTACAAACCTACAACATAAGTTCTGCCTAAATAGTTCCTACTTGGTGCATATCTACAACGTCTTCCACTGTGGGGTGAATGGAAAAATTGCTAAGTAATCTTGCATAATTAATTAATTAATCAATATTGTTTGGTGGGCCACATATAGCATGGTTTGATCATTGAGCTGCGGGCCATGATAAGACATACCTGGCATAAGCTAATGCTAATAACAACATTCCTTGAGTTGGCTGAAAACTGTCTTCAATGCTGACTTGTCAATAGTTCCGGCTCAATCATTTCAAAACAAAATACCTGTTAAAAGATCATTAATATGCATATCATTACTGCACACATTATGTCAACTAAAAAAGACTGAGGCTAAAGCTACAGTCCAAAAGTCAGTATTATGAAGTAGTAGGAATTCTACAGGACATAGAGATTGGTTAAGAAACATCACTGTTTGTGTATTACTAGGTAGGGTTAGTTACCCCTAGTATTGCAGTCCAATTTTATAAATCAGATGTGATTAATGCTAACACTGTTGGTTTGAATGCTAACTAAAGAAAGATAGTTGGACAGTCAACACAGTGGTTATATTTATGTTTAAATTTCCAAACAGTATTTTCTACTGACACCTGTAACCCTATACATTGATATGGTAATTCATTCATTTATTCATTTTCTGTAAACGCTTATCCTGTTGGGGGTCCCGGGGGGGGCTGGAACCTATCCCAGCTGACACTGGGTGAGAGGTAGGGTACACCATGGACAGGTTGCCAGACTATCGTAAGGCTAACACATAGAGACAGACAACAACACATACACAGTTACAGGCAATTTAGAGTCAATTAAACAGCATGCCTGTAGGAGGAAGAACACACACCATGACTGTGGGAGGAAGCCAGAGTACCCAGAGGAAACCCACACTGACATGGGGAAACATGCAAACTCCACACAGAAGGGGTATGGTAATAATAGTGTATAGTAATATACTATGTTATATAGCTCACGACATGCTCCTTGCCTTTGGAAATTATGCTGCTTATTACTATAGGTAGGTAGCTGGGCATGCTAACATTTGCAGGTTATGTTTTAGCAGATAAACCAATGGTTTAATCTATTTCTTACAATTCTTTACGTGGTTTTATACGAACCAGACTGTTTCACCATGCGCAGAAATCTGTAATTCTGTCAGCTGGGATATGGTCGCATAGTCAGGTGTTAAATGAACGTTCAATTGGAAGTTGTGTTGTGACAGTGTATTCATTAGTTTGCAGACATATTTTGTGACAAATAACCTTTTTTTGGCATAACTACACCGACTACCTCGAGGGTCCAGTCTAAAGGACCTGACACACTGTTGGCTGTTAGTCAGTGTTGGGCCATGTATGAGTGTCTGTCGCCCTAGTCGTGGCTAGTTGGCCGAGAAATGCCGATTTCAGGCAACACAGCAGCAGGGGGCCTTCACTGCAGCTAGTTTTCTGAAGTGGGTTGGGTGTGTCGGGCCTTACCTCGACAGTGTTTATTTTTTGTTATTGATTCATCTTTTTATTTATTGCACTTTTTTAATGAGTCTCCCTTCCTTGGTCTGCATAAGCTATAGCTTGTCAATTCTTGGTACTAATTTAATCAAAGTCTCTCACATTTTAATTTATTGTGGATACAATCTTTATTTTTTGCACAGCATCGTCTGGTTCCATTTAAGTGTGGGTCTTGTATCTCAGGTTGTTGCTCGGTCACATCCGTTTGAAATGCTTTTGCTGTGTGTATCGTTCTTTGTAATCAGCAGGAAGAAGTACAGATTGCTATCATAAACCATTTCCACTGCCTGAGGTGTGAAACGGCAGTATAGGTTAGCTCTCAATCTTTGAGGTATTATTTTTAGTCATATATGTTCAGAGGCTAGAGTGGATCCCATGCCCTTCAAGTTGTCCACCAAGAAAGGCCTTGCTAGGCTATTTAAGTATGCAAATCTGTGTATTGGAGTTGCAGGGATGAATGAATTAGGGCTGGTAATGAAGGGGTAAAAGAGGGTTGTGCAATCTGTGACAAAAACATAGTTCTCTGGAGAAGAATAGTCTGCAGTTTACATCATTTCTCATGGGTTTG